AGGTTCGAATCCATCGAATCAATGCAGATGGAGCATGAGACCGCCTTGGAGCTGGCCACATTGGACCGTGAGATGGCCGAAGAGACGGCCGAGGTTCTTAAGGTTGAACTTGAGGCTCTGAAGCAGAAGTCGGAAGAGCTTGAGCTCGAAGTGGAAATTCTCCGCGAAGAGAATGCGGAATTCGGCCAGGGTATGTCAGCGGAAGACCGAGCCAGCACCGGATGGCTGCAGATGGAGAGGACGAACGAGCGGCTCCGCGAAGCTCTCCTGCGATTGCGCGACTTGACTCAGCAACAAGAGGAGGAGCTCAAGGACCAAATCAAGACTTTGGAGGATGATCTCCAAGAATTTGGCACCGTTAAGGAGCAGTTCGATGCGGCGAAAGAAAAGTTGGCCCAATCCGAGGCTGCAGTTGAGGATCTTCGGCAACAACTCGATAATGCTTTGGGCGCTGAAGATATGATCGAGGACCTCACTGAGCGTAACATGAGCATGTCTGAGCAAATCGAAGAACTCAAGGCCGTCATCGAAGATCTCGAAAACCTAAAGGAGATCAACGACGAGCTGGAGATCAACCACGTCCAGAACGAAAAGGAGATGCAAGAGGACCTCGACTTCAAGGACAGCGTCATCACGGAGCAGGCGCGACGGGCGGGCGAGCAAGAGGAGGCCCTGGAGGACATGGAATACACCCTGTCCCGCTTCAGAGGACTGGTCACAAGCTTGCAGAGCGACCTCGAGGACATGCGGGCGTCACATGCTGTGACCGAGACGGAATCCGAGCAGCTTAACAGCAAGTCTCGCGCTATGATGGACCTGAACATGAAGCTCCAGATCTCCGCCTCCAAGGCCCAAGTCAAGACGATCGACCTCGAGCTACGACGACTGGAGGCTCAGGAGGCCGAGCAACACTTGGAGATTGTCAAGATGTTCTTGCCTGATACCTACAAGGAGGACCAAGACTCTGTGCTTGCTCTGCTGAGGTTTAGGAGATTGGCCTTCAAGGCCGAGCTCCTGCAGTCGTTTATCAAGGAGCGTGTCAACGGCCAACCTCATCCTGGCCACGAGGACGACGTCTTTGCTGGCTGCGATGCTATTGACAAACTTACATGGGTCGCTTCTATGTGCGAGCGCTTCACTAACGCCATCAGCCACTGCTCGATTGAACAGTTCCAGCGGTTCCAGAATGCCTTGTTTGAGCTGGAGCCAGTGGAGCGGGCGCTCAACGGATGGATCGACGGCTTGCGACGAGATGACCTCAAGGAGCAGAAGTGTGCGGACGAACTCCAGCGCACGATTGCGCTCATGTCCCATCTCGCTGAAGTTCACCTCACCAACGAGCTGCCCGACTTTGCCGAGGACACGTACATGCAGACTGTCGTCATGCAGAGCCATCTTGAGTCTGCCGGAGCCACCTTTGCTGCTTTGCGTGGAATGGTCCAGAGAGTTGTGCCCCCCGAGTCTGAAGACGATGAGATGGCGCAGCACTTTGGCAAGAAATCCGAGTTTGTCGTTGCTCAGACCCGGAGTGCCAAGGTTATTGCTGGAAAGGCTGTACGGGCCCTGCAAGATCTCAAGTCTCGCTCGCTGGCGTTGCCGCAAGAGACCAAGGAGTCCTTTGAGCAGTGCCAGGATGCCACTCAACAGCTGGCAGCGTTGGCTCGTGAGATTGGCTCCGACTTGCATACGCTCCTACACGAGGAAGGCCGTAACGAGCCCTTTACGTACCGCGAAGTCCAGGATACAATCTCCAAGGCCACCACCAAGGTTACCATGTCGAGCGAGTCCGACCTCTTCTCAACGTACCTGTCTAGGCTTCGTACTCTTACCAGCCAGATCTCAGACCTGGCCGCGCTTAGCGCAGATTTGTCCCAGACGCAAGAGTTTGAAGTCAGCCCCGCACCGTGGAAGCTTCGTTCCCAGGAGCTCAAGGCCATCAAGACAATCCCCGTCGATGCGGAGGAGGAGATGCGCCGCCTTAAGGAGGAGCACAACGAAGCCCGCGTGGCGATTGCGCAGCGCGACGAGAATCTCAGCACGGCCAACCTCAAGATTGAGACCCTCGAGTCGAGGATGAAAGATGCTAATGCCAAGGCTTCCCGCATTGAGGATCTCGAGGCGCAGATCGAGGCTGCGAAGCAAAAGGCTGCTAGTCTCAAGGAAGACATTGATAAGCAAGACCGCGAGCTCAAGACACTGGAGACGGACCGCGACAAGTGGAAAAAGATTGCCGGCGACAGCAAGGCTTTCGCGGACGGCGCCGGTGCAGCGGGCGCCAAGGCCGGCCAGGAGCGGGCGGTTGCTACGGCGCGCGAGATGGATGCTCTCAAAAGCGAGATTGCGAGCCTGCAGGCTGCCGTGCGATACCTTCGCGAGGACAACAGGCGCGCCAGGACGACGGAGCAGCACAACTACGACTGGCTGGCGGAGCCGCTCACCAAGTCACCTTCCGTCGTGGAACAGCGCCGCGCCCTCGTCGTGGCGGAGGGCAAGGATGTTCTCAGCGAGCTGGTCAAGTTCACAACGTCGGCCCGCGTATACGACCTTGCTTCCCTGCCGGAGGACAAGCTCGCGTGGAAGCCAGCGCGCAGCACGCCGCAGTACCACGCGGCCAAGCAGAGGGAGGACCTCGCGGCGTGGAACAGCTGGCGGAACTCGGTGCTCAAGAAGTCCGAGGTCGTGCTAGGGCGCAAGGATGGGGCGGCGGCGGAGAAGAGGCAGATGATGAAGAGCGTGGCGGCGAGATTGCAGATTCGTTTGCCGGACGCGGACGGCAAGATGGTGCCCGGCGGCGGGAGGGATGTGCAGATTGTGGGATCGCGCGAGTGGGAGGGAATACAGGGCCGACTGGCGGCAGTATGATTATCATGGAAGCGATGCGATGTGGCAGAAGGACTAGTAGGATGTTAAATACCCCCTGAATCCCAACCTTATTCTTCAAGTCTAGCATGCTTAGATTGGGCTCCCTCAGCCTTTTTCTACGACCTTCCCCTTTGTATCTCCGTGATGTCGTTTTAACTTGGTGACCATTGACCGTTGGCCGTGGCATGTTTTTTCATGACGATGCTTAGAACTCCTTGGATGTGGTCCACCCCTGGTTTCCCTTTTGACGACTCTCTTTCTCTTTTCTCTGACAGTCCACTTCAAGCCTTGCCCTTGCCCTTCTTCTTCTTACCAGCCTTCTCCTCAGCACCGCTACCACCACCACCCAAAGCACCCCCCTGAGCCTGCTGCACCAACGCCGCCATCGGGTCCCCGCCCCCCTGCATCTCCTTCATCATATCCTTGAACAAGTTCTCGCTGACGCCGCCGCCCGTCATGGCGGGACTGATATACGGCAACAGCTCGCCCATCTTCCACCCGCGCGGGACGGCGGGCCTAGGCCACGGCTTGCTGGGATCGTGCGCGGGAGCACCCTGCACGCGCGCCTTTAGGGCGGCACTGTCCTCCGTCGTCGGGTTGCGCTTGAGGTGCTCGGCGACGAGGATGTACAGGTGGTGCTTGTTCTTGATCTCCTGACACCCCGCGGGGCGGCTCGCCGCGCTGGCTTTGCCGCCGTCCGGGCCGAGTTGGCCGTTGAAGCGCGTGCGGATCTTGACGCGGCCCGGGTTCGCCCAGTCCTTTGGGTGGAATTTGGCGGGCTCGAAGAGCGTCGGCAGGCGGAGGGCGGCGCAGGCGTTTACGATTTCGCGGGCGATGGGGTTCTCTACGGCAAGGGATTTGGGGACGCGGCGGCCTTCGGCGCGTGTGCGGCGGGCGTCAAAGTAGATTGGGTAGAGGCACTGGAAGTCTGCGTATTGCTTCTGGTCGACGGTCGTTTGGAACTCGGAGGAGCCGCCGCGGGGGCCTGAGCCGCTGCTGGCGGCGGCGGGGGGGATGGTGGAAGGGTTGATTTGCGGTGCGCGTGGTGCTGACGATTTGGGCTCGACGCGGCGCATGATGTCGTTGTCGGCAAAGTCGTCAATGTCGCCCTCGGAGGGGTCTGATGCCTCGAGGTCGCTGTCTTCGACCTCCTCTATGCGTGGGTGCGACATGGTGGTTGTGGTTTGTGTGGGGGGTTGTTGGTGCGGTATTGTCTGGCGGACTATCTGTGATCGCCACTTCTTGTTTTGTACCCGATTGAGCTCGTGACTCTCGAGGTATCAGTCGCTTCGGGAGCTTTCGTCGTCGTCGTTGGTGGTGGGTTTGGAGGCCTGGCAGATGTGAGGTGAGGATACAGTTGTGGATTGAAGAGGAGGCTCTCTCTCTCTGCTAATCCACTCTGGGATTTTGGCCGGCAGGTGTGGGGTTGGTTGCAAGACCACGGCTCGTGGTGGGGTTTGGGTTGGAGTGGCGGGGTCCACTATCTCGCTGGGGCTCGGCAGACAGGCACAGGGCATTACTTCACCTCAGCTCATGGGTAGCTTACAGACGAAGGTATACACGAACACTCGTTTTTCTCTCTGCAAATAACCCGCAGCTTCATGGATGTGGCAAGAGCGATGGCTTTTCGTGAAAACAAAAGAAAAAGTGCCTACGAGGGAATTCGAACTCATGATCTTCAAAAATATAAGCCACCGGGGGTCAAGATGCTAGCGCGGAGGTCGGGAGTGAGCAGTCGCAACTATAACGCCAACACGTCTCCTCATCCGATGGTGACAATCTGAGCAAATTGCTGACCCATATAGTTAGAGCGTGATGCAATGGTTTTGCAGGGCCAGAAATTCAGGTACGATTGGTCCTCCCTCAAGCGCTACGTGAGCCTCACTGCATGAAGAAAGTATCTGGAAAACAGCTATCCATGTATAGCTATACGAAGCTCATTTGGCAAGCTCAAATTGCCAGTGAGAAAGCTAACCATACAAGAATTAATTCTCAAAAAGCAAACCCAGTACGTTGAGAGACCAGCAGCAGATGAGTTACGACTTTCTGTGCCACAGCCAATTCCATGTGCCATAGCAAATCCTGTCCCTTTGTCATTTTGTCTCTCCTTCCTTCTAAAATCGGCTTCGAGAAGCCGTTCAGTTTTCGTGAATTTTGGCATTCTTGAACTTTGTGCCAGGTGGATGATCCTCAACTCTGAACTTGCAATACGGGTGGGTGCAGGTGGTTCCAGTCACGCTAGGACACTGCGAGACTTGTTAGTACACCTTCTGCAAGAGTGAAAGGCAAAGACTTACATGATGTCCGTAAATGCAGTTTTCCACGTCACACTCCTGACCGCTGGTGCAGGGGTTGAGACGAGTCAAATGGGCAATGGCGTTAATTTCATCCGGGTTGGGCTTGTATTTGTGTTCGAAGCAGCACTCATCGCCCTTGGCACAAGGACCGCGCAGGTAATGGTTGTTGCACAGCTTGTCCTTACCTGTTCGTTTCTTAATATTGTCCATGGCTGTTGCGTTGATGGGGATAGGGGGATCCAAGCCACGCTCGCCAGGGTTCCATGCCGGTGTTGCCACTTTTGGCTCCGGAGCCTTTCGAGCTGGAACATTGACGGATATTTTAGCCAACGGGGTGGTGATGACAGGCGGCGGGCTAGCCTTAGCGGTGACCCCGGCCCAGGAAGAAGAGGCTGTCGTCGCCAATGTAGCAGGGGGTGAGGTTGGCGAAGCCACCATCACAGGCGAAGATGTTGACGCTCTAGATGGAGCCGGAAAGAAATGTACCGACGCTGGTGCCTGCGCCGAAGATCTGGCGTATGCCTCGGCACGTTCAGCAGCGCGGTCGCCGCTTCTATCAATGAGCTTTTGGTTTCGGAAAAGGCTGGGTAGCGGGTCGAGGATATGAACGTTGGTGTTTTTTAGCTCTCTGACCGTAGCGACGCCCTCAATTAGACTGACTCTTGAGCGAGTATCTGTATCTTGAAGGATTTCATCGAGGAAAGGGGCATAACCAGCATCGTGGGAAATGCCTAGCAAAATCTGTCTGCAGTTGTAGTTTCGCAGATGCCAGCGGGTGGCCTCTATGGCAATGTTAGCCCATCTGTCACTACTACAACATCACCATCTAGTCTCGTGTACAACGCACCTTTGATCTTCGAGTCGGCACGTTCCTTACCGTGACCAACGTCGATGAAATCAAACGAAGCTTTGGCCTGTGTGAAACCCAGAGAAAACTCCCTGAGCTCGGACTCGCTATCGAGGCAGCCATCTCTGCGCATAGCACGTCCAAGACCGGATAGATTGGCGCAGACTTTGGCGACGATTTCAACCTCACCCGACTGGCTGCCAACATACTCGGCAACGGCAGTTCGGAGGGCGTAGGCGGCTTGCTTGCCGCCCTCGATACCTTGTCTGATAAACGATTCTTGGAACTATTGAGAAGGCGCCGAAATTAGCATTACATCGAAAACCCGAGGTAGTAGTCGGGGCTACATACAAGAAGTCCATCTCCATCAATTAGAATCAAGACGTAGGGATTGCGATTCTGCGAGGTTTAGTCACTCTGGAGCTCAAGGGTGGGGAAGAAGCTGCTGGGTAGCAGACGGCGCCGCTGTCTACCTTCATGTAGCTGTTATCATAATCAAGCTCTTGTAGCATCTGCTGCATCTCTCTTCTGGAAGTGGTAGCATGCTCGAGGTCGAGCTTTGCATTGCGCAGCTCCTGCTTGAGTATCTGATTTTCATCGGCATATTGGCCCTGAATTTCTTTGCAGTATATCAAAAGGTCCTGTGGTATCAAACGAGGTTAGCGGAATGTAACTTTGGTCAAGGTTCATAACCTTGTTCAGAGGGGCGGTCCCATGTTGGGATGGACGGGAATAGCAGTTCGTCGCGTCTCGTGCAGGTGGATTGAGAGTGGGCTTGGAAAGGTGGCGATGAGGGAAGTAGGGGATCAGCAGCCGAAGCGCGTCAACAATGATAGCTGCAGCGCCAACGCCAAACAGGCGCTGAAGCTAGACGCGGTAGCAAAAGTTGACGACATGCCTCGAAAAGCTCGAGCTCAAGCTCAATCTGGGGGTGGCTTTGCTGCGGGACCCTATCGAGCAAGGGACAGGAAGCTTTGGTCTCTCTGCAGACGCAGACCAGCCGTGGAAAGGACGCAGAAGATTCAACCGGGAGAAGGGGTGGGCAGGCAATGGCAAACCATGAGGGAAGTGGAAAACGCAAACGTACCTTCATCAACTGGTCGCTGGCGTTCTGGTAACCCTGCAAGTTCTGATACCGAGTGACAAAGTCCATGATCTCTGGCTTATCCAAGGCCATTTTGTTGGATGGTTTTTCTTTCTTAATGCCTGATCCGATGGCCGAAGGCAAGGTGTTGCTCGGCGAGAAAGGAAAAGAATGTAACGGAGATTGGCTACTGGTGCGAAGGTAAGGTGGGAGAACAGGGGCCGAATTGTTGGTGTTGATGCCCAGGTTGTTGGTGTCAAAAGGCGACCGGGTGGTCGTGGTATGAGTGGTGGTGGGCATCTTTTTCTTTTTTTCCCCCTCCTTCCCTCAGGCAAAGTGAGAGCTGCTTTTTTTTTTCTGCCACCAGTCAGATTCAGCGAGCGAAATAAATTGAGAGAGCCCAAGCAGGACGAAGAGTGAGAAAGGTGAGGCGGACGCTGCAGTCCTTGTGTGCCAAAGGGAAAAGGCAAGAAGTCGCGGCGGTAGTCTCAACTGCTGCACTCTCTATTGGCGCCAGCAGGTGCAGGTGCAGGTACGGTAGGTAGGTAGGTGGGTGAGTGAGTGAGTGAGCGAGTGAGTGTTGTGCTTGGACGGGACGTGGATGTGTGGATGACCGTAGTGCTTGTGCTTGGTGCTTGGGTAGGTGGTAAAAAAATAAAAAATAAAAATATAGGTGAAAGTACCGTGCCTGCCTCGTGTGCTTGTGATGCTTTGGTGCGATGGCCCAGCCGGATCAGGCAGATAGTGTGCTCTGCTGCAGATGTCGCTGTAGCAAGAAATGCGCCTAGCCAGTACGTAGCAGGTTACGTCTCTTCTGGAAAGCGATTTATGAGAGGTGAGGTGAGGTACCCTTTCGACTAGGCTTGTGTGTGCAATATATGAGAACCGCGTAGGTAGGCAGGTGGTTTGATGATATGAAGAAACAAAATCTTTGTGGCTAAACCCTTTCTTCACATCTAGAGCTTCGTGTGATCTGCAATAAGAACCTCGAGAGCTGTGAAAGGCAAAAAAGCCAAGACAAGTGGATAGGGAACCAAAAGTGTAAGAATCTGGAAAGCAAAATAAGATGCAGCCAAAGAAAAGAGAGACAAGCACTTAGAGACTACCTTAGCGCAGCTCACGTCTCGTCGATCGGCGATGGGATTGATAAGGTTGATAGCTGGACAGGGCTGGAGTTTGGGGGCAGAAGAGGACGTTCAAGATGGTCGGTTCAGGCAAAAAGTCATGGATAATTGAGTAAAGGGAGGTAGTACCTGAGGGCTGAAAAGGTGAGGTGTGACCGACCGGTTGAAGGTGAAGCAGTGCCAAAAAGCCTCTGATGGTGCGTCTGGAGAGAGCGAGTAGAGGCTACGAGGGCAATGTAACGCCAGGCAAGACGATAGACAATGGGGTAGGATCGGGATTCGACTAGACCAGGATTCAGGATGGAGGTTGGCTGGTAGATGGGGTCTGAGGCGAGAGGGCGGGAGTACGGATATGTCTGAGGTTGAGACGAGGTAAGTCAAATAAACGGTGGGTGCCGTAGAGATTTTGTTTAAGAAAAAGTTGGAAGGGCAGCAGCTTCTTTCCCTTTCCTGTACTTTACGAATAAGGGTCAATAAGACGGGTTTATGTAAAAGGTGGAAGAAAACGAACAAATATTGCAGACGTGTCTGCGAGACGGAATAACGCAGCAACAAACGGATTTTGGGTTGAAAGATGCCAGCCGTCTGTTGTCTGCTGTCTGCTTCCTCTCCCAATCGATACCTGACAGCAGAGAGTGACGGGAAGCGGTGAAGCCACCACCGGATTCTAGTATATCGATCTGCTGGGACCCGGGATGCGGAAAGCAGGATGAGCGCTCACTCGCCGGATGCGAATGGATGGCGGGGGTAATCTTTCTTGACCCAACCTAGGCACGGGTAGACTTCCAATTGTCAAGAGATGGGGAAATGTTCACCAGTGACATTCGAGAAACCGTGGGAAGTTGATTGCATAGGCAAAAAAAGCAAGCGTCCGATAAGATGTTAGACACGCCACAACACAGGTCGTTGGCTGGCGGAAATTGATTTTTTTTTTCTTCCTCTACGGATATGGTGTTGGTGCCGTACTGTCTGGACCCCGGAAAAAATTGTTAAACTGGCATACGAAAAGAAAAAAAAAAAGTTTACCACTGGTCCCAATCGTCATAGGCCGCAAGGATATGCGTACCTTTCATCCCGCAAGATACCGGTGACACCCATTCCCCAGTACGCCGAACGACACAAAACCTCGAATCAGAACATGGACATGACGGCAACAGAAAAGTACACTCAGGGTATACATAGGGTATATTATGGTCATCTATGCATCCTCGTTGTTGTATCTGCCTCAACCATTCTTGGCTACCTGCTGGCTGACGACTACCTAGCAACGGCTGCGATGTGCCTGGCCTGCACCTCGCTCGACTGATTGCCCACCGCTTGTGCATGAGATGCCACTTTAGCGACAACTTGCGAGGCACCACGGAACCCGGTAAGCAGGCACTGGCAGGGCAGCTCCTTCTCCGCTGGCGCTAAATCCACTACCGTTGTCCCACCTGACTGGCCAGCATCCCCCATCATGGCAGGGGGGCGCCCTTCAGCTGTAAATCATCTGTCCCCCAAGGCGCTCAAGTTCTCGACTTCAATTCAACCCACCAATACATGCAGCCAATGACAACAACTCAATGTCATGCACTGAACCGCCGCTAGGCCGCGACCTTTTCACCATCTCTTTTTCGACTCTCACCTGCGACGTTCAAGAAAAACGCCTTGCCATCCCTCTTTCCTTTACTGTCTCAATCATCCAAGCCCCTCGCTCCTTCTTCCAGGAGCTTGCAGGCAGATGTTACGGATAGTATCTTACTCCAACTTGAAGGTGAGCAGCTCAGGCTTGAATGTCCCTAAATGGCCTTTGTTTCTGTCCGTTTCAAATATCGTTCCTCAGTCTTCCATATAACGTACGTAGTAAGGGGCTCAAACAGATGACGGGTCGTACTGGTTTAGCAAGTTCCACACACTGTCATTCCCAAAATCTCCTTCGAATGATGTTGTACCAGCCACCGGTGGTGGCGGCGTCGCTGCTCCCCACGCGGGGAGAGATCCGTCGTCCGGTATACCGTTGAGGTCGTGATAAATGAGGTCTCCCATCGGGAATAGTGGCGCAATCGACGTGAAATCCCAGTTATTGGGTATGTTCCAGTCCGAGGCAGAGGATGGCAAAGGATACGCCGATGCCGCGTCTGATGCCATGGGCAGTGAGGTTGGTGTCGCCACCGTACTGCTCTTGCTCACTGGCGTATCTGCCGTGGCCGCTGTTGCCGTTGACACCGATCCGCGGCCTGAAAGACTGCTGTTGTCTGCCGTCGATGCCGGCGTTGTCTGGGATGCCAGGCTTGACAGGCTCGCTGGTGGCGCCGGGTTTCCTACTGCTTTCTTAAACTTATTAAATATCGCCTGGAGAACTCCCTTTGCCGCCTTTGCAAGAGGGTTTCGCTCTTGCATCGCTTCAAACCTCTCCGTTGTCCAGTGGAAGTTTTGCATAGCGCTGCTTGCCATATCCAGGTTCTCCTTGGGGAACAGGATATATATCGACGCCATGAGCACTACTGCGTCAAAGCTGCCAAAGAACAGCGAGAAACTAGGCAGGCTTGTTAGCCTAATCCGACAGGGAAATGCATGAGACCTACTTTCGCCATGATCCAGCGTCAAGGCCTTGGAATGTGAGCATCTGTCGATGCAACATTTCAATGCTGGCCTTGAGCGCCTCTGTCCGACTCTTTTGCCTGTTAAAGATGTATGGCCGGTGCAGTGCCATTAGATTGAAAAGATTCATCTGCGGTAGGTAAAATCGCACCGACTGTAGCCAGGAGGAGCACAAGGGGTTACCGTCCCATTTCGTGTCCGGATTCTCCAGGCGGAAGTATGCAGGTGTGGCCTCGTCGAGTTCCATACATATTTGGTGTACCCGGTCGACCTTGGAGTAGTCTTTCGGACACGGGCCGTCGTGCTCAAGCTCGAGGATCTCGCGCATTGGGCCGACGAGCTTGAAAGCCCATATGCTCTTAGTCAACGGGGTTGGAGGGTCTCTCTCGTCATCCCTTGGCGCAATGGGCGTCTTGCGGCGGTCTTTGGGCGGAGGCGCGTCTATTGGTAGACTGGGTGGGAGTATACGCCAGTCGATGCTGCCAGGACGTCCAAGCACAAGCGCACAGTGGATATCCCTGTTCGGTGTCAGCCGAGTCATAAACAGCCATGCTTGCCGTCCGGCAATTGCTCACCATGTCATGAGGACCATGTAAAGCTTTCTCCTCCGCTGAATCAGCCACATGTTCTCGAGCATATCACCAGTGTCATCACTGGCCGGGGAAGGATCCAGGCTATCCCGGTGCATGCCAATCTCTTGAGCATCTCGAATAGCGCTACCAATGGCATGCCACTGCACTCATTATTAGCTTTTTGATGGCCTTAAGCTACGCTCGGGAGTTCACCTACCGATTCCGTAACCTTGGCCATGTATTTGAGAAACGCAGCTCGAAGAAAGTCGGCCTGGACTGTTGTGAGAGTGATTTGCCGCTTACCAAGCAGTGACAAAATGCCAACGCCAGATTCGCTGTAGTCCGCGGCAAGGTCCTCGAAAGTCATGTTCCCAGCATACTTGAGATGATCGTAAAAGTCTTGCGACCCTTCCGGTAGAGTCAACAAGGCCGTCGCCAGTACCTGAAAGAGCAGCGCGGGAAAGACTCGCAAGTCGGGCGAGAGTGCCTGTGGACCAGAGTTGGAAAGCACGCTGAAGGGGATGTTGGACCACTCGGCAAACTGTTCCTTGAAGAGATCCTCCTCAAGCGCATAGTACTGGTGGTTGAACTCGTGAAAGTATACGTCGATGAGCTTTTCGATGTAACCTTTCGCCGGCAGCTGTCTGATCAACGACTTGTATCGTTCCTTGGTCGCAAACTGGTCTTCGACGTGGGCCGCGCCGCCGAGATGCGACAGCTGGCCGTCGCCGTTGGCGCTTTCGATTTTCCTCATCAGACCGAGAGTGGAAGCCCCAGCTTGAGAGTAGCCCCAGTTCGCGGCGGCATTGGAGAGGCT